TTGTCATGTCGTCTTAATCTTACAAGTTCATGCTATGATTATAAATGTATGATCTTATGTAATTACTGAATTGGTGATTCAAACTTTCTTTTATTCCCTCTCTATTACAGATTTCTTTATACATGTTGTTGTGGACACTCGTTCCCCAGCACACAATACACTTTCAAAGTAGATATCAACTAACATATTGTGCTTGTCAGACTAATGAAATTAATATCCGAAAATTGTAATACAAAATATGTGAATTGTTCTATGAACGAACGGAACAAATAATTAGAAACGGGAAAACGCATTGGGACGGACTAGAATATTACCTGGTTTATGGCACCGTTTTAAGTATGTAAATTAAACACCTTGATGAACTCTTGTTCAACGAAACTGTTCTAATATGTTCGTGTGAAGACGTGTCGTTGGTGGCAATAAGGATTAATAGATTTATACCATTAAATTTTTTGAGCTCCGAAATATTAACCACTGAATCCTCTTTAATAAAGTACCTTAATGATAATAATAATAACAATACAAAATGTGAATATTCTTGGTTCGATCTCTGACTGTATTGTGAAGATACACCGACGATAAGTCATATGACGAAATACGATAGCTGTCTAGTTCCATTTGATTATCACTAGTTGCTTACCCTCAATGATAACAATAACAATCCTCCCTTTATTGAATATCATACGTTTGATTACAGCAAGGAGTTTTAATCAACAAAATTATCGAATATTACAGCAAAATTTCTCTTTTCTAAGTATTTAACTTCTGAATATTTCGAAAAAGTTGTATTAACAGTGATTAACTGTCATTTATAATCGTTCGTAAATATTAACAATCAGTCTTACATCCATAACATACGTTTTCATCGTTCATGGATTAATCATCACTAATTTCTCCAAAGAATAGACGAGGAGGAAGAAATTACTAACCAATGAACTGGTACTTCTTGAATTCTTCAGTGTCTAGATTCGAGATAAACCGTTAACACCCTAAGAAAGCCTGTAAATACATGCAGTCGATAGATACAAATAATTAATTTGAACAAATATAAAATGATGTAGAAGATAGCTGAAGATCGTATATTCTTCACAGTTTAAATTACGATCTGATCTAAATTAGATCACTATTGAAAACCTGGAGTCATTGAACGGCTGTTTCGTCATTCTATGGGGCTCCTTAACAATGCGTATCCATGACTCCTCATTCAAGAAGGGAATCTACGTCCTCCAGTAACCCACATGGATGCTCAATCTCTAGACCACTGACCCGGCATTCGGTGATGTTAATGTCGCCATATTGCACAACCCTCGACTATTGCCTACGATTGATATCTTTCCCACACCATACACGAATTAAACTTCACTAGTCACGGCACAAGTGAATCTTGTGGGTTTTCACTTGTAGTGTCGGTTACCGTGTTAAGTCTTTATAACTTATTCTAACTTCTGAACAGGCCAATTTATCCATTTCTCTTGAGTCACGTTTTGACCTTGTTAATTATTCACTTATGAACCCTGACTGCTTTATATGAGCGTATGTGTGTGTGCATCTTATCCTACTCACCACATGTCTGTAACTTATTTTTGTGTGACTATAAATATTGACTTACACATGATTAAATTGAATTGCCTCACATGCCTTCTCCAGTGCTCACCGTCTCGTTTCGCTTCGTTCCTTTGATCGTCTGTCTGAATCAATCATCGTACAGTATATACGCATTCGAACTCGTTTCTCGTATTTGACTTATTTAATTCCGTTATTGACTAACGCGATTTAAGTCGATGATTATATGCGAGGATAAACGACATGTATATTTCAGTAACAATCAATCATACGATCTAACTGGTGCCAGAATGATCACAGTGTAATGGTATAGCTGAAAAATGCTCACTGACCTTCATATACTTTCTTACCTGACTTCACTATGTGATTTCAACAATGTTTTTGACACGAAGACCAATACAGTGCTATTGAATTAATTAACTTTAGCCTATAGTTGACTACTTCAAAGTCTATAATATTATGATTTGCTCTCAAGAGTTTGAAATAAAAAAGTTCTCACTCACTTGTGTTGTATATAATTCAAACCTAAGAAAACATTTTAACTTCAATTACTTCATGGCGCAATATGACAATACCGTGCATTAACCAAAAGAAATCTTAACGAAATTAACCATAAACAACATCCATAGCTTTAAATTATCTGTGTTCATAATCTGACATTAATTTTATCTAATTATCAATTAATTATTCATCTTCACTGAGCTATTCCTAGGAGGGGTCAACAAGAAAGCTGAAAAGTTTGATTGCATAATATTTTAACACGTTTCATCAAATAATATTTTCAAATCATGAAGATACTAATATTCACCACAGAAAGAAACATATGATGCCATATTTTGCTCTGTAAATAATAGGTGACTCTAAAATATAAATTTAGTCTAATGCCCAACTTGCTGTGTGAATATACCTTGATCTTAGCATAAAGCTAACACTGAACCTCAAATCTGATGCTTTATTTTACAGAATACTGAGTTCAGATAGCCACTAACCTATGTCACGAGAATGAATATATTTCTAAAGATTTGTCGTTTCCCGTTGATGATAAAACTTATTTTAAAAGGTATGACTAAACGCTATATCACATAGGACCCATAAATGATAACACGGACTAATCAAATGTAGTACCAAATATTAACCATGTTAAGTGCAAGCCATTACAATAGGTGTTAGTATTTGAAATTTCATGAATATAAGAGGATACTACTTCATTCAAGATAACAGATATGCTTTACTTACAATTACAATTTGGAACAAAGTATAATGTCGGAAATTTTCGCTGATTAGTCTTAATCATTTAACGTGACAATATAGTATAAATTCATATCGAATAACTGTGACTATTGGACAAGCAGTTATTCAATGAATAAAACTCGGTTAATATAAAGGACCATACAATCTGGATCAACAATCAATTTTGTTCTTCATAAACTCCATCTTTCTTCTTAACACTATATGGCGGCCTATTTGAATATCTGGGCTGCCTGTTCCTTCCATCTGGATATTTCAACATGTTATCTGTTTTCTTGTTTATTTTAACACATCATTAATCTCATAACCTATTCAGGTGCGTTTATAAAAATGTTATGACATTCGTTGTACAAGTTACAAAACAGCCTGATCAAAGACATCGTGATTGTTGGCAATATGTACCGAAACAAATTCACATTATTCAGATGTCAATTCCTGAACTGCTAACATCTAACTGGCAACTACTCAATATTTAGCATCAGGATTGATAAAAAATAATAAGAAAAAGAATCTTGTCGAAGTGAGAATTCTATATTGTACCAAAAATATAATAATGAATAAAGCAATTGATAATAATAATAATAAGTTACTGATTATTTGAAAGAGGAGTATTGAATGTCCAAAATATTCGATCGACAAACCACTAAAATCTGATTGGTTCTTATTTGATAATTTTTTACAATAATCCTATTAGTATAGGGGTTGTGGAGATTATTAAGTTTTGATTGAGATCTTGAACCAATTGATGTTAGACCATCACAATTGAAAACCTGGAAGCACTGGACGGCCGTTTCGTCCTATTGTGGGACTCCTCAGCAGTGCGCATCCACGATCCCGCGAGCGGGATTCGAACCCAGGGCCTTCGGTCTCGCGCGCGAACGCTTAACCAACTGGACCACTGAGCCGGCATCCAATGGTGATAGTTTCTAACATCAACCAATCCACGAAATTGCGCGACCAACTTCCATTGTACTTAAGTAGATAACTGTCTCTACCCGTGGAGCTAATCCTTGTCGGGTAGAGACAGTTATCTACTTAAGTACAATGGAAGTTGGTCGCGCAATTTCGTGGATTGGTTGATGTTAGAAACTATCACCATTGGATGCCGGCTCAGTGGTCCGTCCAGTGCTTCCAGGTTTTCAATTGTGATGGTCTAACATCAATTGGTTCAAGATCTCAATAATCCTATTGGTTGAAATTTTCATCACAATAAACTGTATTATTATTATTTTTTGTTTATTTTGATTTTAATAATCACTAAGATAATATTTGTTTCCATGTCTGTATGTATTAGTTCCCAAATATTTCTAACCAATCAACATTTACAAAATAAACAAATAATGAAATAAGATAGAAGGAAACTACTGGTTAGATAGAATTTTTCCTTATAGAAATAGGGAGAAACTATAAAAGCGAACAAATAAAACACAACATATTTTTCTATTCATTCTTAAGTATAAATAAATAATAAATAGGGAACTAATGTGTTCGCGTGTCTAAACTCTTAGTATGGTATATATATATATATATATATATATATATATATATATATGCGGTCGATTAGTAGATAGGTAGGTAGTCATATTGTTAGATGTCAATGAATGGTGGATGTGAGTTAGTATTTTTCTTCTCTAATTCAACCTATAGACAAATTTCCCTATGGTACAAATAATGTACACATAAGTAACGATCTATACTAATACATATATATATATCAAATCGTATGCTGACTTTAATTTAACTTTCATATTGAATAACCTAAGAATAATAATAATTTACTTTTTTTGGACGTCCAGCCATCTAGTACCTTTTTTTAACAAAAAAGTAAACTATATTCAGTCACTATAATAAATTCTACATTATTGAAGAAACCCTATAATCAAAAGTATTTCATCGTATTTATTCTTCTAACGTTTAACACATCATTTGAACGAATAAAACTCTTGGTTATGCAATAATACATATTTATATTTTCACACTTCTTTTCTCTTATTCAAATTGCAATATCAATATTTTTCCTATTTGAAGAGTGTGGACATTAATGTTTGTGCCTGTTATTTAGCTTCTCATACACAGACACAAATACATAAACATATGTTCAGGTACATATGATTAAAAATTTGGAGCCATTCATGAAACTAGCTTATTATTTTTGGTTGAATTAAATAATAACAATATCACTAGTTGAGATGAACACTGAGACATTGGATGTAATCGATAAATCGTTGAAATGGTCAGATTATGTCATGAATACAATCTCGAATAATAATAATAGTGGTGAAAATAACACTGAATGTTCTTGGATAATCAATCAGATGACTTGTCAAAATCTGAATATTCCATGTCATCATCACCATCATCATCATCATCATCGTGATAATGACAAAGATGATGGAGTGAATAACACTGTGAAAAAAATGGGAAATTGACATGTCAATTAATTATGAAATTAGAAAATCTATTCAACATTTAAATTATGATATAACAATGATTATAAAATCACGAATACTACTGTTCATAATGATAATAATAATATTAGTAGTAGCAGTAGTAATGAATTCGGTATAGATACTTCAAAAGTCAACGTTGAAGTTGAGAATAAAAATCATAATAAATTAATCAATTACATGGAATGTGAACTCGAAACATTAATGAAAACAAACTCGAACTGGAATAATAATCTTGATAAACACAATAAAAATCTGGAAGTATCTAATAGTTCTGATGGACATTATGAAAATTCACTAAACAATAAAACGAATAGTAAGATAATCTATTATTATTATTATTATCATTGTTGTTATTAATATTTTACTTGAGTGTTTCAGTTTGAACATGAGATTTCCGTCTCAATTAAATACCATAAAAACTATTGTCTTGATATTTAATGTATCCCCTTGTGTATTTGACAGCAATCATGTTGAAACTGTTATGTCAAATTATTTATAAGAGTTTTAGTATTTTTCAACTGTTTATATTGAGATCTGCAACTGAACAGTCTCTATGTTAACATATGTGCATCCAGAATGAATGATCTTGTTATTGTCTTTTAAAGTAATAACTTTCATTACATCTGAATTATGATTAGCAGTGAAATGTGAAATTCTGATTTCGTTCAATTGGATGATCATCAGCTAGGTTTGTTTGCATCTGATTGTCTTGGTGTTTGCACTGAGATATCATGATTAATTATATTAACAAATAATATCATTCTTGAAAATCATTATTGTCATATACTATGAATCATGGATGAGATTATCTTCACCTTCTTCAAATTCATGAAGTGCAATGTGACTAGAAGTTTCAGATAATAGAGCATGATCTTCGTTAAGGCATCAAATATTTGCATATTCCTGTCAGGATTTACTCTATTAGGCAGGTACATAACAGGTCGTTGCTGGATGACTGCATCTTACATTTCTATAGTAACACGATACCACTTGTTAACGAAAATAATCTTCAAATGGCTAGTTTTTTTCTTTAGACATCTGATAAAATCAAATAGTAATTAGATTATCTCACTTTTAACCCAAATATAATAAATTACACTCAGAGTAAAGAGTTAATACATTTGCCACTTGAGTAAAATCCTGTCGAAATTCTAATTAAAACGAAAAGAAAAAAAATTATTATTATGCTGTATTAATAATTTAGAAGTTCCAGTTCTAAGAGCAACATTATTCTGATTAGAACTAAGTAAAGGGTACTAGGTTCGTGTTCCCAGTGTAAACATCTACATTAACATTTGGCAAGTTCATTAATCTGTGACAAGTCTTAAATAGAATGAAATGAACGCTCTGAATCCCGCTACTAGTCACAATTTATGCATTCTAAAGAATAAATGTTTAGTTTCTTTTAAATAGTACATTTTTTCCCAAATCTAAGAATTGATATCAACCGAATTATCCATGAGAAAGAATAATGGACATTTCTTTTTACAACGTTTGAAACTTAAACCTACATGGATCTATGATGACTCGCACCTACAAGTCAAAACAAATCTCCATAAAATGTCTTGACTAACATTTTTAAACTCCAAAGAAGTATCCAGTCTCTATGACAACACATATTGAATCGAAAACACAGTGAATTTTCTAGTTTAACTCTTAAAGGGAAATTTAAATTATAATTATATTTAGCAATCATAACACATACTACTCAGTCATCTGAATCATAATCAGTAACAAGATTTGAACCAATAATTCAGTAGTATACTTTGAAATGACTTCACTTCAACCGTTTATATGATAAACAAATAACAAAAATGGAAGTGAAATTTCTCGTAATCACCATAATGTTACTTCTTAAGCTTTTCAGTAATTAGATTCAAGATAAAGTGTAGACAATATAAGTGAGTATGCAACTACATGTCGTTGAGAATGCAATATCTAGCATTTTCTAGCACTTTTGTTTTTATTTACAGTGTATTTCGCATGTAAAAGTGTGCTTTTTGTTGGGAATTTCATTTCAGTCATCTAAAGCTATTTACATATGCCTTTTGCAAACATTCCACGACAACATATCTCAAGTTGCTGGACGTAAAAAGTAAATAAAGGGAAAAGTCAGATGTTGAAACGAAATTCACAGTGAAGTTATGCTTTAACATTTAGGACTCACTCAATAAATGTGCGGAAAAGTGTTTGAAAATACTTTATATCGCAAAGTTGTTGGGCGTTAAAAACGAATGCTCAACAAATTTGAGCACACATATCTCATCTGTGACAAATTTCAAATTATTGCTACTTGGCAATAATATACAGTTATTTACAATATGGAATGAAAACCAGGTGAATACTTGTAAGAAGTTATGATTCAGACTGAAACCAGGAAATGTAATCAGTGAGTGGATGTGTGAAACACTGGTTTCTGACTCACTTGTTGGAATATATTTATGTTTGCCGTGATAGCTGAAGGCTTTGGGTTCAACTTTAAATAGCGTTTTATGTACACAATATCGGTGTAATTCTTTTTGGCTTTAAGAATGATGGAAGTACTTCCCGGTTATCCTCAACGACATAACGTTTCAACATAGTGCGCTTGATACCGATTCACTTGGACTATATGCTCAATTACTTAAGTTGGATTGACGAAATTCGATCAGCACTAAAATACTAAAGGAAAAACATGACATCAATCACTACTCTATGATCAGTTAACTATACGATTTTGAAGTATTCCTCGATTCTCAATGACTGTTCAACTATTTCAACTCGATGATGAGAAACTTCCTAACTCAGTGGCTTCTAACATTTTCAGATTTAACTCAGAATAGAAGCGAAAGGATACCCTACTGTAGTTTTCTTTTATATACTTCATAAAAGTTATAGAGACTCTACTAACTAAAAGAACTGTTGTGAGGTTAAGTTTTTAACTCAATTGTATCTTTCATCTTAGATTACTACTACCACTTATTCTTATTTTCATAAGCTATATGATGAACTGATCTTACTAAATAAACTATTAAACATGAAAAAGCGCTGGACACGTGTTTCGTTATTGTATGAGATTCATCAGCAGTGGTCATCCACGACTCTGCCACAAGGGGATCGAACCCGAATATACTTGTCTCGAACACAAACCGTTTCTTCCTTTAATTTCTTCGCAATATTATCTCTTTTTTTCTACAAATCAAATATACTAGAACGTATCTGCATCAAATAAGTAAGACAAATCAGTATTGACTAACACAGAGATAAGATTTTTTCGCAATTTTTACAGGAATACTTACTAATTTATTAGATGAATTATGTTTACAAACGCAATACAATCTGCTAAAATAAACTATTCATCAATTATCAGAAGGGGTTTTGTGGAGATTTTAGAAATTTCACTGATTGAAATCATGAGTCAATTGAAGCTAGACCACCATGGAAAGCCATTAATTGCTTTAGATGTAAGGGAATGTCAACTAAGATTGTTCACAAAACTTTCAACATTCAACGGTACCAAACATTTTTAGCTATTTCATCGTTCATTTAATGGATAAGTGTAATTTTTGATCAAAAACTTCATTTTTCGGATTTAACTCGATATTTTTAGATCGACATGTTGGACTGCACTATGATTAAAATGTTCACAACAGACAATTACAGATAATACCAGCACATATCCATTAAATGAACAGAAAAATGGATAAAAGTAAATGACACAATACATTTAACGAACATTGAAACATTAAGCATAGATTCAGTTAAAACGATAGTATAAAGTTAAGAATTATTTTCAAATAGGATATGTGTAATTTATGAATAGTGATATTACTGTATTAGAATACACTTGAAGTTTATCAGTTATTTGTATTAGTTTGTATAAAAGTTGGAATTTAGAAAAAAAAAGTTAATTTTTTCAATTATACAGTACGATATTGTACCGTTGGATGGATGATAGTTCTATCATTAAAACATAAATTCAAATGTACGTATTTATAGTAAGTGTAAAATGTTACTTCAGAACTGGTCTTCGTCAATTTCTTAACTAATAATAGAAACTGAATTAATTGAGCATATCGATCAATTCATTTACATTAGAAGTCTCTCAGTCATGGATCTAGTGAGATCTCGAGGTGATTCTGAAAATTAGTTTCTACTTTTACTAACTTGCTCCACCTGTGGCTTCACCTGTTGACTAAAGGACGAGTTTATTATGCAGCAGTTTTCTCCGTTCTACTTTATGGATAATAAAAAATGGTCTTTAAAAATACAGGATATTCTTCATTAGATTTCTATCATGGGGGACTCCTGAGCACTGCTTATTTATTTTACGGTCCCTGAATATAATATTCTCACGTGAGGCACAGAGTAACCATAGCAAATCGGTGGATGAAGCAATGACTGTTTATCAACCAAGCTAGTTGGGACAGATATCACGTATATCAAACACTCCCTCTTTACCTCGCTGAAAGATGTTGGTTAATGCATGGGTAGTTTAGAAGAAAGATAGGAGTGGTCAAACCAAGACAAGATATCAATTCATAAAGCTTTTCATAAGTGAACTGAGACATAATATGTACATACAGACTATCTGGTTGGAGTCAGCACGATTATTGTAGATAGTTGTTGATGTTTTTAAATGACATGGCTCGAAATCAATCACTGTGACGTACATGCATTCACTCTTTGCTTTTCATTTCAGTCTTACTCCTAAAATCTCTCTAAACTCTTCCTTTGGTTTAGTTACCTATTTTTTTCTACAGCTATTGATACTATTACTACTCTCACTATTCAGGAATCAAAGTTGATAATTTCATCCTGCTGTGTTAATATAGCGTTGCAGCTTAAACATATGAACATATATTCCACCTTCTACGTTCCGTATGACTGAATCGATAACGGAGTTTGACCATCTTCTCTCTAATTATTAATTTACTAACTCAGGAATCCCAGCACAAACTTACATAATCTTTATTCTATGTGAAACTGCATTTCAATTACTAAATAAAATCGGGAACCTATTACAAGAATTTACATATACTGGACGAATTACATTATTGTTATTTTAGTATACTTCATCACTGTCGACCTGAGTAATTTCATGGTTTGTGATACATCTGCTAATTATCTAAAATATGAATGAGAATAAATAAGATTAGATTAGTGAAACCTTGATTTGAAAATCTGTCTTCCGTTATCAAAAGCTTACTAAATTTTGATAAAACTTTATTGTTCTCTTATTTGTGGTGTATGCCGCAAAGTCTTGTTTGGTCTAGGTTTCGTTTCAGTTGACACTCTTCGGTATAAGGGGAATTTGAACTTATTTCATTCATTATGGCAATCAGAAATTTTACCGTTGTAACATTTCGGCGGACCAGCTTAGCGAAACACGAATACTCTTCATCTAACATTTTTAACTACACTAATACATAACTACAAATATTTCCTAATAATCTCTTCAATCAATATGACCTGATTTGATCAATTTTATTATGTCATCCTGTTCCTCAATATGTAATTTTTCATTTTTCCCATAGTTTAAAACGTTTGAAATTATCTATCTTTGCTTACAAAGCTTGTAACTTCAGGCAGTATCGAGGCAATCCGTACATGATGCAAATGTGCCAAGAAGAGACTGATCAATTGCAGTTCTGAACATCAATGAGAAGATTCAAACAAACAATGCAAAAATGAACTAAAACTTCACCCGATTGCAATAGTTACTGGATTCATGGGCTCAGTAGCTAAGTGGATAACGCAATAGTGTTTGGAGCGGAATGTACTAAGTTCGAATCCCGGGATGAACACCAACTCGGATGCAGGTACATCCAGCTGGCGAGTCCCGAATAGGGTGGGACACGCGTCCTGGTTTCCATTGCTAGCCACTATCCATCCTTGCTCATAATGTTTGAAATTATCATAGAATTCTTTACCATTTTTCACTGAAGTGTTAATAAAATTTTCTTACTTTGATTATTCCACAGGAAATAAGATCGATCAATATCATGGTTATATTACCAACAAATCCAACAAAGAATTGAATAATTTTAACGAGAACAAGACTAATTCATCTGAAGGACAGGGACAAAACAGAGAACTAAATGACTCATACCATCGTCCTCATTATCATCAAGCTATCAACAATGAGATCATAAAAGGCAACTGCCTATTTCAGTCAACCTTAAAACAACCAGAAAATTCCAAAATAATTGATTGGTCCAACAGCAATAATCAAACTATCGATGGAAATATTTATAGTGACCATTCACAAAATAAATGTGAACAATCATTGATTTCTGATAAACAACCAATATACCCTGATCATGTTTCATGTTATCCAACTCATTGTATCACCGATTCGTCAGGTTACACTTCGTCAAATTCTTCATTTTCAAATTCATTATCCGAATGTTCCACATCGTCATCGTCATCTTTGACAGTAGTTAGTAAGATTAACTTACCTATTGGAGATGACGATGCTACTCATAAGAATATAATCAGTAGGTTAGATTGTACTGATGATAAATTTCATTCTAACAGATTAAAAGAAATGAATTATGAGAAATATTTACATGTGAATTTATATTCAACACAAAATGATGACCAGTATTCCCAAAAATGCCTAAATTTGACTGAATTAAATGAAGCATATCATCAACAGACTAATGTAAGTAGTAATGTAAATTGTACAGACAGCGGTTTCAACAATTCACTGGCCGCTTATTTACAGTCAAATAAACATTTTATGAATGATAATAATTATCGTTATAGTGATATTTTAATGGAACAAAAAAAGTGCACTTGGAGGAATGATCTTATGTACAAAGGTTTTAGTAAATTAAAGACAAATATAATTGAAGGTGATGACAATAATAGTGAAGAGGATGACGAAGGAAATGACGATGTTGGTCAGGATGATTATCTAAGTGAAGGTGGTACAAGACAAAGAACAGATCATCAATTAAATTTAAACCATACTGTAAATGAATTAGACATTAATGTTCCTATTCAGTTAACCAACAATAATCCTCATACATTAACAATTGCAAAAAAATATAATAAACATACAGCACACGAAATTGGATTTGTTGACGGAATGATCTTAGACTGTAACAATGATGAAATGATGAACAATATGACTAAAATGTTGAATTTTACACAGTCAAGACAACTTATCAACAATTCAGCTTTTCCAATAAACGGATATACAACAACAATAACAACAGTTCCACTATCATCCTCCTCCGCCGTATCATCATCATCTTTATCAAGAATAACAATGACATCAAGTGTCTCCGTCTCTAATAACATCCAAACAACATCATCAACAGCGAATTGTACACGACAAATTAATCATGAAAAAAATAAAAAACTACGTAAACCACGTACAATTTATTCTAGTATGCAATTACAACAATTAGCTAAACGATTTCATTTAACTCAGTATTTAAGTTTACCTGAAAGAGCAGAATTAGCCGCATCGTTGGGATTAACACAAACTCAGGTAAAAGAAATCGATTTATTTATTTGCTCGTTTTTTATTATCGATTTCATCAGTTTGTTTCATTTTGTTTTTTCTAACTCTGTATTTAATTGAAATTTGAAGTTGACCGGTAATCTCATAGCATTTCATGACAGTTGAGATACTAAGTAAATCGCTCTAATCAATATAATCTTTAAATGTTATTCAAGTGCATAGTTGAGGAGAATGTTGAGTTTCATTGAATACAAGAACCGATCAATGATAGACCACCACTGAAAAACTGGAAGCACTGGGCGGCCATTTCATCTTAGTAAGGGACTCTTCAGTAGTTTACATCCACAACCCAGAAATCGGAATCGATGTTTAGATATTCCTGGTATTAAATATATGAGGTGTTTTAATAGTTATAGGGGTCTGGAAAGACTATTGATTTCCTTAACTGTCATCTTAAACTGCCATTTCAGTTGTAGAGTGAATGCTCACAGCCGATTTTAATCTATGACGTTACCTTCCATTTTATACTCACCAAGTGTATAAGTGGACAGTCAGTTCTGTCGTTAGATAGCTGAATCAAGGACATTATTGAACAGTTTTTCCATATTAATTTTAAGTTGTTTTCATTAGTTAACAAGCAATTCTTTTGAGTCATAGGACAGGGACTATATATGAGATAGTGTAACACAAGGTACTGTAGAAGGTAGGTAATTCATGAAAATTAGGGTTGATTCGTGTGTTCTCATTACGATTGGTTCTTTATCCACTATCCATTCTTAATCTTTGGTAAATATACAAAATATTTATTACTAATAACCAGTAAAATCGTAACCACTCAATGAAATGCAACTTCCATCCCATTTAAAATATATAAAAATTGCCTTCATTACAAATGTTTCTAAGATGATAAACTGAGTTGAATAATTTATGCCTCTTTAAACAATGTTAGATTGTGGTCTAATAACAAGTAAAGAGAAAACTGTGGCCTTAAAGTCAATAGGATCATTTTCAGTCTAATTTACAAGTATTTGCTATTGTTGGTTTTCAGTTCTTTCACTAAACTAAAAAAAATATGTTAAGTTCACTTGGTATTTTTTACTTGAATCTTCCCATTGATGGTTAGGACTGCAATTGATCAGTCTCTTATTGGGGTACATGCATATTGTGCGTATTGCCTCGATATTGCCTTAAGTCACAAGAATTATAAGCAAAGATAGATAGTGGCTATTAGTGGAATCCAGGACGCGCTTTTCGTCCCATTTAGGGCTCGTCAGTTGGATGTATCTGCTATCAGGACTCAGTAGCTAGATGGACAACGTGATGACGTTTGGAGTGAATGGTACTGGGTTCGAGTCCTAGTGTGAAAACTAACTCAGATACAGGTACATCCAGCTGGCGAGTTCCCAAATAAGACGAAACACGCAATCTGGATTCCACTGCTAGTCACTATCCATCTTTGCTTGTAAAAAATATGTTATTTTCATAATGTCACTTTCATTGATTATTGAATTTAAGTTTAACCGCTTAATTGATTTTACTTAAATTTCTACAAAATAAAGTTCTGTCTCCAAATGCCTACATTTTTTTGACAAACATTATAATTATAGGTTAAAGTGGACAATTTAATTATTATTTTCACCATTAATTCTCTTCCCATTATTTTATTTCTTATTGAAAGAAGGGGAAAAACAGTGTTATTTTTTTTTATCATTGTATGTTATTAAAATCTTGTTTATACGATAGGCAGGTAAAGCTAAAATAACCAGTCGGTTATTTTTATTATTATCATAAAGGGTTTTTTGGATATTATAGTAATTTTAATAGTTGAGATCATGAGTCAATTGAAGTTAGACCATCATGGAAAACCTGGAAGCACTGGATGACCCCTTCTGATATTAATCAAAATATGCTCACTAGTGACTCGCTTCAAGAGGTGTTTTCTGGAGTTCTAGTGTGAAGCAGTGACCAGTGGATTTCAACCGGGTCTGTTGAGAGATATTAACTCACTGAAGACAATGGTGTACGGTGGCTCAATTTCGTGGAGTAGTTGAAGTTAGACATTAACACCGTTGGATGCCAGTCGGCTCAGTGGTCTAGGAGTTAGGCGCTTGCGTGCGAGACTGATAGGACCTGGGTTGGAATCTCACGAGGCGGGATCGTAGGTGCGCACTGTTGCGGAGTCCCATACTAGGACGAAACGACTGTCCAGTGCTTCCAGGTTTTCCATGGTGATCTAAGTTCAATTGACTCATGATCTCAACTATTAAAAATTTTTTTATTGTTTCATATATTTAATGTGTATATAAACTGTGAATGAGTAGTTGATGCATAGACTTCAACAAATTCTAATTAATTTATATTCTACTAAATAAAATATATAAGTAGTTGTTCAGTTAAAATTGTTCCAAGTTCAGTTTTCCACGACTAACAAAAACTAATAAAGAGCCAAAAAAGAACACTGAAAAATCTGTTTGAAACTCACCAGGGTTGTGTATATGTGAACCTTTAAAGTACAGAATCTAGGACATTCAATACTCCCAGTGAGAATGATAACTTTACACTATCGAGTAAAAATTCAACTTTTATTAGTCAATGTGATCAAATGGAACTAACACTCAATAACATTGATGGTATCTGCCATCCACAAGTTACTATGATGACCTCAGAATTTTAAAATATCCTAATAGAGGTTGACTACATTTAAACATTGGAATTGAAGTTAAGTGAATCCTATGTTACACAATATTACTAGTTTAATCCTACATTACTTCATAGATGAACATCAAACTGGAGAATTTCCATTTAACGCAAACGTCTAATCTATTTATTTTAAGTAACTAATAATTTTCTAGCTAATGTCGGTTTGATTGATAAAAAGTAGTTACATCATCTGTCTATTCATTAGAAAAATATTTTTTACCCAACAAAATTCTACATAATGGAAGTAAATAAAATCTATAACTGCCGTTTCGTCATAATATTTGACTCCTCAGCAGCTCTCATTCACGATCCCATCCGCGAGATTTGAACCCAGGACATATCAATCTCACGCGTGAACGCTTAACCTCTAGACCATTGAGTCAGATGCGCACTGCTAAGGAGTTCCGTACAAGGACGAAACGACCATCAAGTGCTTTCAGGTTTTTCATGGTGGTCTAGCTTTAATCGACTCGGGAATTCAACTGTAGCAATAAATAAATCCCCAAAATAAATAGCTCTGTAAGTTTTCGACATTGGATGCTGACCATATGTTTTAATGGACTCACCTAGCTGAAGGCGCTCTGTCATGCATCCGCACCAGATCACGTGTGGGAACGCCTTGCTCAACATCTACTGCAAACGCTAGCCAGACTAGATCAGACAATTCCGACTTATTGGCAATCGTCAAATACAACTTCTGATCTCTTCGATTCTGTCTTTTGATTTCTCTTGGTGGGTACGAGTTATATTAGAAAGTGTTACTGGTAAAAGCGTTGTCAAACACTGAATACCTGTGTCATCTTCACAACTATTAAATCATTAAAATTTCCACAAAATCCCCTTCTGATAAAAATTTATAACGGTTCATCAATTTCTATGTATAAAGCAGCACGTGACTTGATTATTAATTTAATTGAATAACACGTGTTTAAATTATTATTACTTTAAAAGAAATAACTCAAGGTCAATCAATAATAAGGATATTAAACTTAGATGATGACACATCTGTTACCGATTTAAATTATTATCGATTTTTATCGTTATGATTTTATTGTCTATTTAAATTGATACCCCCCCCATGAAACCAGACACATTAATTATGACGCAATAAATCAATAACAATAATAATAATAATAGTGAAAATTCCCATTTTGACATTTAGTAAATAAAGAAGGAATGAATCGAGTGACGAAATTTCTTTTCAATTAGTTTCTCATCATGGCTCTACGTTGATATATTTACAATAATGAAATAATATTCATTAAGTGGATATATTACGTAATAATTATATGATGACATATCGATTATAAATCAACATTGAGTAATTGGAAGAAAGAGGATTAATAATAATCAAAATAATTATTCGACAATCAAGAATTCACTACGTTACATAATATATGACAAAGAGAAGAAGGAACTAACAAAATATTTTGGATGAATGGTCAGTAATATAATAATTATATAAAAGTCAAAAGATGAATATTGAGAATAAGTGAAATACAAAAATACAAAAAAATGGAAGAGAAACTTAAAATAGTTTATTGAAGTTCTAGTACAAATAATAGTTTCTGTTATAACTCAAAGGGTAGCCGATTAGAGGGCAGTGACTTATTGATCGGATCAAGGGATGCAGAATCTCGATAGACTATTCTGGTCCGTTGTCCCCGACTCAGATAACTCGATTAAGAAGTCTTGATAAGGCGTAGAAAGTGTATTCTACAGGCAAACAGCAGATACCAAGTCAGGTCAGATCATACAGGCACACAAGTCAAGCGTATTTATACAAATATTTGCAATCGATATTGTCATGGCAAAATATTTTTAAACATCAGCCAATAAGTTCATCAATCAACAGACAACAGTTTCTAACTGATATTTGGACATAATGACATGTAATCAATTGGTTCATAATAATGAAGTTATTAGTTTTCAATTTCTTAAATTACAAACATATTGACAGATTTGTTTAAATTAAAATTATTATAAAATGAAGATCTTTCAAAATCTTAAAAGAAAACTGAATAGGTAAGTGTATAGTATAAGAATGAGTTAATTACAACTATGAATTTAGCTTTGAAGGGTTATTTTTTCAGTGAACTATAGAAATCACATATATAATATGTAGTAGAAATAACTTTGTACATTAAAGCGGAAGAATGTATTTGTAAAATCTCAGCGAAAGAATATGAAGTAAATCCAACGTTTGACCTGGCAATCTGGCCCAAGCTTTTTCAAAGAAATAAAAACTTTGTACGCTGTCCAAAATGTTTTAAATGATAGAGGAAAACAGCTTTTTTTAAAATATTTTTTCAATTATAGAGTGAACA